GGAGAGGGACAGAGAGTTAGAAACATCGATGAGAGAGAAACATCGGATCAGCTGCCTCCTGCACACTCCCTACTGGGGATGTGCCCGCAACCAAAGTACATGCCCTTGACCGGAATCGAACCTGGGACCCTTGAGTCCGCAGGCCGACGCTCTATCCACTGAGCCAAACCGGTTAGGGCCCATTGATTTTTTAGAGAGAGTGGAGGGAGAGGGAGAGACAGAGAGAAACATCGATGTGAGAGGGACACATCCACGGGTTGCCTCCCTCACGCGCCCCCACCAGGGCCGGGGATGGAGCCTGCCACTAGGGTAGGTGCCCTGTGCCTCAGCGTAGCGGCCTCCACGGGCACCTGTCACAGCCACAGTCTCCCCACCCGGTGACCCTCCCTGGTGACAGGGCCTGGGTCCCTCCAGTGACCAACACCCCATGTGTCCAAGGCCAGGTGCCCCCCAGCAGCTTTGGGGGGGGCTGGAGAGCACCCGCGGGGCCTGGCCATGGCCTGAGCATCGCTCCTCGTTGGGGATCTCCCTGGAGCGCTTCGTAGCTTCCGGTGTTGGGAATGGACCTGCCCGGCTTCCGGCTTCGGGGTTGACGGGTCATCGGAAGTCAGAGTAGCTGACGTTCGCCCAGAGGGAAAGCTGGGCCGACTGTCAATCACAACCCATTTCCGCGGCGACGCCCTGTAAGACGCCCTTTCGTTCCCCCGTTGGGTTTCCTTTCACTTGCCCCTCACAGTCACCTCTGCTCCCTCCCGCCCCGCTGCCTGAGCCCAGCGGACTGACGTGCCAGGCACGTTACAGAGGCCGCCCTCTGGGACGCCCTTTGTAAAGGGGTGGCCATGGCCCCGTCCCCGGCGCGCACCCTGTGCCGCTTTTCCTCCCCATGTCATCCCTCTGACTTCCCAGCCCCGGGGAGACGGATCCCTCCTGCCCCCCGAGAGACCCAGCAGCCTCATGGAAGCTGGGGTCCGGCCTCACTCTCCACAGTGGAAGCCGGTTCACAGTGAACAAGACAAAACAAGACAAAAGGCATCTCCCAGAGATCCCAGGACATCACCCAGGCCAGGCCAGAGCCCGAAGCCTGACCCTCAGCGCAAGGCCCTGTCATCTCTGGGCTGCACCCCCTGGCACAGGGCCAGCTCCCCTCGGGGGATAAAGGTCTAGCTCAGGAGCAGCCCCCGGAGCTGCTGCGGAAACGCCGAGAACACGCCTGGCTCCCTGAGAGGCCGCTGCGGAAGGCCGGGCCATGGAAGGGGTTTCTGAGGAGTGCTCCCTGACCTTGAAGCAAGGGGACGTAATTAGCATTTAAATTAAGTTGTAGGTTAGCCACGCTGGGAAAGGTCAGCTCGCTATGCATTTTTATTAGGTTACGATGTTATTTTTGGATTCATTTGCGCATGGACTGTTCACTAATTTAATGAACATTTTGGAATCAGAAAATTGTCATGATTAACTGAGCTACGTATTTTTAAAAAATATATTTTTATTGATTTCAGAGGGGAAGGGAGAGGGAGAGAGAGAGATAGAAACGTCAATGATGAGAGAGAATCATCCATCGGCTGCCTCCCGCACTCCCCACACTGGGGATGGAGCCCGCAACCCAGGCCCGTGCCCTGACCGGGAATCGAACCGTGACCTCCTGGTTCATAGGTCGATGCTCAACCACTGACTGGTACCCCAGGCCTGAGCTAATATTAATTGATGGGTTTTCTTGAACACACACGCACCAGAGTAACTATTTCAAATTTATACAAGATAAGTCTGGTGTAAAGTCATATACACTTAATATTTAAGTAATTTTAATACGTTATTATTAGGATTAGGTTTATGGAGCCACTCAAGGGTCATTGTCAAGAGGGTCTGGCTTGGCTTTAACTGCGTTTTTTTCTGAAATGCCAGGTCGTGTGCGTGGTGAGTAACTTCAGGGGAAGACACCCCGAGAGCGAGCACGCCCGCGCGGCGGACCTGGCGCACACGCCGATGATCAGCATCCCGCGGGTGGAGAGTCCGTTGGAAAAGGTAAGTCTGTTCCAGTGACGCGAAGTTTAAATTCTGAGATGTGATCGTTACCTGGAGAGAATGAGTGACTAGTCCCCAGCGTCACCGCGGTCGCTTCCCGTTTACTGAAAGGGGCTCCCGGAGTCTCACTGGCATTTAGCCAAGATTCAGTCCCTGGCGACGCCCTGTGGGGAGGGAGGTCCCACCTCAAATGTCCCGGACCTGGACCCGTGCCACCAGCTGAGAAGCGGGAGGGCTCGGGCTGTGCCAGAGCTCCTGGGGGGGACGCTGGGCCTTCGCGAGGCAAGTGATGGATGGCTGTGCTGGGGAAGGCGCGCTCTTCTCCTAAATCTGGATCCGCGCTGCCAGCGGGAGGGCTCGGCTGTGCCAAAGCTCCTGGGGGGGACGCTGGGCCTCTGCGAGGCAAGTGATGGGATGGCTGTGCTGGGGAAGGCGCGCTCTTCTCCTAAAACATGATCCGCTCTCCCACGCTCCGCGCGCAGGCGGCCCGTGAACAAGGCGGGTTCGAGCTCCACTCGTGTGCAGGTTTTCTCCGTAAATGCAGGAAGTGTGTTTTCTCCTTCTAGGGTTTTCTTAGTAGCACTTCCTCTTCTCCAGCTCACTGTGTGGTAAGAGGACAGTGTATGCTGCACAACATAGCAAACGTGTTCGTCGGCCCTTGGGTGGTCGGCAAGGCTGCGGGCAGCAGCAGGCGGTCGGGAGGTGCGTTTCGGGGCAGCCACAGCAGGGTCACCTGAACCAGCTCAGTGGCTCACCGTGGAAAAGGACCAGCTGCTAGCCAGGGGCACTGAGAAAACTACCCCATCGCCCCCCAAGAATCACGCTGCCCTTTCACCTTCTGCCCTTTCACCCTCTGCCCTTCCACCCACTGCATTTTCCTGTCTGCCCTTCAGAGGGTTCTCTTGCCCAGAACTAATGGCAAGGGGTACGTGACGTTCACCCAGGACCCTCGCAGCGGGAGGGCTCGGCTGTGCCAAAGCTCCTGGGGGGGACGCTGGGCCTCTGCGAGGCAAGTGATGGGATGGCTGTGCTGGGGAAGGCGCGCTCTTCTCCTAAAACATGGTCCGCTCTCCCACGCTCCGCGCAGGCTGCCCGTGAACAAGGCGGGTTCGACCTCCACTTGTGTGCAGGTTTTCTCCGTAAATGCAGGAAATGTGTTTTCTCTTTCTAGGGTTTTCTTAGTATCACTTCCTCTTCTCCAGCTCACTGTGTGGTAAGAGGACAGTGTATGCTGCACAACATAGAAAATGTGTTCGTCGGCCCTTGGGTGGTCGGCAAGGCTGCGGGCAGCAGCAGGCGGTCGGGAGGTGCGTTTCGGGGCAGCCACAGCAGGGTCACCTGAACCAGCTCAGTGGCTCACCGTGGAAAAGGACCAGCTGCTAGCCAGGGGCACTGAGAAAACTACCCCATCGCCCCCCAAGAATCACGCTGCCCTTTCACCTTCTGCCCTTTCACCCTCTGCCCTTCCACCCACTGCATTTTCCTGTCTTCCCTGCAGAGGGTTCTCTTGCCCAGAACTAATGGCAAGGGGTACATGACGTTCGCCCAGGACCCTCGGGGGTCAGGCTGCGGTCATGGCAGCAGCAAGCGCTGGGCACATGTGGCCTTTCTCTCTCGCCCCCACTCGTCCTCCCTTTAAGGTGACATTCAGTTCTGCACAGGCGAGCACCTGTCAAGGGCGCATGCGTGTGCCTCATTGATGTCATCAGATTCCGTACAGAAAATCCAAGGGGAGGGACATTCTCTCGTCCCAACAATATTTAAAAATAAATAGAAGCCATGGATGGGATCTGATAGAACATGAAATAGTTCCAATCGATGAAGAGAATTAATATCTACAGAGTTTTATTGGGCAATTAGAACAGGCCACTGTGGCCAGGTCTGGCTACTTTGGGATAACGTGAGGGGTAAATCAGTGGTGTAGGAAATACCACTTTTTGAGAAAATAATTTTTTTTCTTGGGTTTAGGTGATCTAACTGAAACAAAATGACAAAAAAGGGGAGCTAATGCTAGGAATAATTTGCAAATTGCAGCCTTGTAGTTCTGGTCAGGGGCTCTGTGCCAACCTGACTACCCAAGATGCTGTGCGTGTAAGAGCACCCCGTGACTGAGAGCGGCGCCACCTGAATGCAGGTGGTGAGCAGTGAGGACGGCTCCCCGAAGCTGGCGATGCCATGAGTGCATGCAGTCACGGGTGGACATTACCATGTTTCGTTCCCATGGCCACCATGGAGGGAAACGACAGGGCGAGGAACATTCTAAGGGGACTCGCACTGACCCAGAGAAGCAAACGCATGGGCTGTTTTGAAGGTTAGAACATCACAGGGGTCAAGGTGAAACCTGAGCTGAAGGTTCGGCAGAGCGAGGGGGTGGGGCGTGGGGAGCCAGCCTTTTGCAGGTGCCGGCAGTCCTGGGTTGGAAGGTTGGCTTGGCTACATAATGACTAAGGAGAATCAGACGAATTCCTCCTTTTCTCCTTACCTGAAAAAGAATGGATACGATTATGGTTCCTTTATAGGGTAACTAGAGGCCCGGTGCACGAAATTCGTGTGTGGGTAGGGTCCCTAGGCCTGACCAGCAATCAGGGCCGATCGGGGCCTTCCAGCTGCCGGTCAGGGCCTTCCTTCATTCCGTGCCACCCCCTGGTGGTCAGCGCACATCATAGCAAGCAGTCGAACTCCCGGTCTCCTGGTCGAACTCCCAAGGGGACACTTTGCATATTAGCCTTTTGTATATATAGATTGTTTGAAATGACAGATCACAAATAAACTATACCAGCCATCAGGGCCGATCGGGGCCTTCCAGCTGTCGGTCAGGGCCTTCCTTCATTCCATGCCACCCCCTGGTGGTCAGCGCACATCATAGCAAGCAGTCGAACTCCCGGTCTCCTGGTCGAACTCCCAAGGGGACACTTTGCATATTAGCCTTTTGTATATATAGATTGTTTGAAATGACAGATCACAAATAAACTATTGGCACACAGTTGGTGCTTAAATCAAGGTAGCTCCCTCCTGTAAAACGAATGATTCCTTTAATAGGATCTTCATTGTATTTCGGACTAGGATACCCCATAGAGCTATTTCGTGGACTTGAAGGTTTATGCAGATTGTCTATGCCATACATAGAGCATATGGCAGGAAATCTTATAGCAAAAATTGCCACATAGATTAGTGTCATAGCAACAGCAAAACAACCCTGTGGTTTCTTGCCAAGACAGACATGATTACCCATGACTTTGCTCTCTGGGATAAGTCCCTTTGAGGTTTCAGCGTGTTGGCACGAACACGTGTGGGAATCCACTTAAGATGTGTTTGCTTTTCTAGGATGCAAATCTTTGTTTTACAGAGCTGCCGACTGTACGTAAACGTTCCATAGGAGCTTGTCAAAACAGCTTTATTAGGGATCAGATGTTGGAATAGTTAGTGGAGCTAAGTCTCCTCGTATTTTCGGCAGCTTTCCTCAACCTGAGCTCCGAGCACTTACGAAAGGTATTCGCAGTCCATCAACGCTCGCGTGCTGGGCTCGGCTCTCACTTGTCTCATTTCATTTCGCTTTAAAGAGTCCATTGAAAAGGGGAGTTAAACATCCCAACGGCGCCAGCACTCGGGTTAGGAGGACGCGCACATGGCTGTGGTCTGCCGTGTCGTTTTCCCTGTGTGTGCTCTCCCCTGGTCAGTATTTATTTCTCCGCACTGTCTATACATTACAACACGCTCTGCAAAACATGAAAAGCCAGGTTTTTCCCAACGTTATCTAACAGGCCTTTATGAAAGCGTCTTTTCAGTACGTTAGCTTTGAGCACAAACCATCTTTCTCATCTCTTTGGAGGGAATAAATACCGGGTTGCTGACTGCACCTTCGGGTTCTCGGGCCCCTGCAGCCATCGGTCCGGCAGGCGACCACAGGATGCGGGAGGAAGAAGTTGCTGGCAGTGCACACCCGCCAGGGACACATGGAGACTCCCCGCCCTCCTCGCTCCCTCTGCTCTGGCACCCATGGTCCCAGGGACGCTTCCCCGTCGGTCCGGCTGCCACGGCGCGCTGAACGGTTCTGACCCAGTGGGCCTGGGGGTCTGGTTGGCACCAGGCAGCACCGGTGATTTGGGTCCAGAGCCAACTGCCGCCAGGGCCCAGGGCCTGCAGAGCTGAGACAGTGGGTCTGAACATCGGCTGCGCGTTACAGCCGCCTGGAGAGCCTTTGCGAATCCCAGGGCCCCGGCCGCCTTCACACCAATTAAGTCCAAGTCCCAGGAGAAGCGTCCGTGTCTTGGTAAAGCTCCTGGTGGTTCCTCGAGCAGCCAGGGCTCCTTTCCCCAGGGAACGGGGATCCGAGGTCAAGGCCCAGCGGTAACTCGTTCATTTAATGACGGGACCGCGACTCCTCATCCCAAACCCTGGGGCCAGAGGCTCCTCAGGACTCAGACGCTCCCATTGTTCGGGGCCAACGCTGTGTGTTCTGTGAGGAGCAGGACTGGAAGCAGCGATGGGCATTGGAGCAGACAGACAGGCAGACAGTCCCCATGGCCTTCCATCCACCCAGCTCCATTCTGCCCCCAGATGGGTTTGTAGCAACCGTATAAGACATACTTGGGGGTGAAAGTGTGTCCACTAGATCTGTAAACTTGAAGAATTGTAACATTCCAGCCAATTTTTAAATCTCCATGGTTTTATCTATTTGTTATCTA